AAATGTTTTGAGCATGATGAGGGCGATGAATGTACAAATGTGCTTTACACAATTGATGTGTGTATGGATTGTGATAAGAGTTGTATAAGCCCCTAAAAAAATGATTTAAAATTTTTTCCTCCTGGCTTGGTACTGGTTGTTAGGATTTGGAGCAGGAGTGGTGTTTCATAGAGTTTTCCATCCAAATGCTCAGTGCTTCCCTGATCTTAGGTACGTCAATGGGATCATGTAATGCACAATACAGAGTGGTCCAGGCAGAATGGCTCCCAGAAGGTCATTGTACACTGCCCTAGAAGAAGCCAGTGGTTCCAGGCCAGCCAGGGATCTAGTTCTCAGGATCTGGGCTGTGGCCCAGGCACGTGCCCTTTGGAAAGGTCATTGTAAGGCACACCCTATTACACCCATGAAAAGAGGCCATGTCAGGGGCAAGAGATTTGATTTCCACATTTGGCTCCTCTACCAAATAACGGTTTTACGACAGCCAAGAATTTAATCGTGTTGCTGTTGCTAGGTGCTATCAAGTCGGCTCCAGCTCACAGTAACCGATGTAGAACAGAAGAACGTCCGGTCCCGCGCCATCCTCACAGTGGTCCTTCTGTAGGAGCCCACTGTGGACGCCACTGTGTCGGTCCACCTTGTCCACAGCCTTCCCCTCTTTCGCTGCTGCGCCACTTTACTAAGCACGTGTCCTTCTCCGGAGCCCGATCGCTCCTGATAAGAGGTCTAAAGCACACGAGACAAAGTCTCCCCATCCTTGCCTCTAAGGAGTATTCTGGTTGTACGTTTCCAAGACAAGATTTACTTATTCTTTTAGAAGTCCATCGCAGTGTCAATATTCTCCACCAGCACCATATTCAAAGGCATCCGTTCCCGCTCCAGTCTTCCTTATTCAAATGGAATGGGAGAGTTGGACCCCCACCGGGCTCTCACTCTATGAGGACGCATTCAGCGATGGGTGAGGAAGACAGACAGCCGAACTGGCTGTCGGCATCATCCTTCCTCTGCACACATCCTTCCCACCCTAAAATCTGCCTCCTAGCTGCCTCGCTTGCCCCGTTGATCCCTGTACTAACTCCAGCGTTCATCACCTCTCACCCACCAGTGATTTCAGGAACCTCCCAACTACTTCCCTGAGCTCGGTCGCATTCCTCTCCAATCCCTCCAATCTGCCTTCGATTTGGGAGCAGTGGGGGTGGGGGTGGGTTCTGGATTAAAAACAGCGCACTTTAATGATTATCTTACAGGTCTGTGGGTCAGAAGCCTGCCATGGGCTTCCAATGGGCCAAAACATGGTAGGGCTGTCTCCTTCCCCGGGATCTATGGGAGCTTATGTCTCCCGGCTTCTTCCAGTTCCCAGAGGCTGCCTGCACCCCTTGGCTTGTGGCCCCTTCTTCCGTCTTCAAAGTCAGCAGCCTGGCATCTCTCTGACCCTGTGCCCATCATCACGTCTCTCTGTGCACTGGGGTCAAATGCACATCGCAAAAAGTTGGCCAGCCCAATCCCTTTTAAAGGTAGAGTCCAGTGACCTTAATTCCGTTCACCATGTTGTTTGCACACCATACCTCTGTCCTAAGACTCGCTGCAGTGGATTCTGACTCAGAGCAACCTGTAGGACAGAGTGGGACTGCCCAGGTGTGCTCCCAAGTCTACGACCCCGTACAGGAGTGGAACGTTTCATCTCTCCCCCTGCTGAGCGCTGCTGGTTTTGAACTGCTGCTGCCTTTACAATGAGCAATCCAACGTGTCCTGACCAATCACAGGTCTGTATTTGTTCTTCCTTAGACACCAGGCGGTTCAGTAAGTCATCCAGGTAATCATCGGCGAGCGATTTCCATTTTAGCAACATAATTCCTGTGATTTTTCTTTCTTCCGTAAATCTTCGCTGTTTTCATTGCCTAAGAACGGGGCCCATAGAAGGAAGTGGGGGCAGCCCTGGCCCACTGAGGGGGTTGCCATGGATAAGGGGAAGCCGAACGTGTCTAAGTTTGGGGATGTAAAGCTGCAGTCTGCTCTGTAAATCTTCCCATAATTCACAACAAAAAA